AGGAAAAGCTTCATATGGAAGGCTGTTTCAAACAAATCAAGGTGTTTTAGAGTCTCGTGCTTGCATGCGGACCCGAAACTGTATAGCACACCTTAAACGGAGATGGCAGTCATTGAATGAGGCAAACAATTCGTTATATGCTCTAAAAGCTGTCGTCACTCTAAGAGTGCATTACGTTAATTGAGAAAACATCCTAATTATTACAGCGGCAATAGCTCAATTTTCATTTTGCGTTACCAATTTTGAATACGTCAGTCGTTATTCATACTCCGTAAACGTTTAAGTTTATTACCACATCAATTGTAAATATAATAAAGGTTCGCACCGCTACTTTCTCATGTCAACACACGCGCTTCTGCGACAGCTTCTGAACGTAGTAACAACCACATTCTATCACGGTTAACTACAGCTAAAAAATAAAATAAACGCACACACTTCCTTGACAGGAATGAACGAAAAAAATTTTTTGTTAATTTTGGGTGAATGGGAGGTTGCGGTGGGATAAAGGGTAAAATGATGAAGTATATAATTAAAGTTGGCCTTCTCAGCCTTTTTAGCACAATTTAAAAAGACTTCCTAAATGTCGGGTACCGAACTACGGAAGGCGGCCTACGAATGCTCCTTGGCATCACTATAGGCATTGAAATATTGAGGAAAGGCTGAACACCGCATGATGTTGTTTGTCTGCACTGGAAGCGAGCAAGTGAAACAACATTATAAGGTTCACAATAGACGCGAGTTAACTCAGCGTCACCTGACTAGACCCACTCGGGGACGGTCAGGTAGCGCGGACCCTCTGGACGGCCAGGATTTGACGCTGGTTTTGCTAGAAGGGAAACTGGAGTCTGGAGGGAGGGAGGAACGTTAACGAGTGTCCGCACGGTACTAAAACAAACGTGTAAGTAGTGATGTGGCCGTGGCTTAGGAGACGGAATACAGCGATTAGAAAACGCTTCTTCTATAACTCTACAATGCAGCATACAAGGCAGCATGTCACGGCGCCTCTAGAAGACCTGTCAAGTTGTAGAGAATAGAAGATGGGGGGGGGAAGGCATCCCTGGTCCAGCATATAGTGAGGGACAGGTGTCACGTCCAACAGGGAATTCAGCCCCGTGTCCTCAACGTAATGCAGCACCCAATTAAAAACGGCTGTGCGGGTGGGCACGAAGAAGTAGATCTGCATGTGCCGTCACTGGCAGCGAATATCGGTGAACATGGTGGCTCACTGTGGATGTAGCGCAGGTCAGTGACAAAAACCAGGTAGCACTGTGTACGTCCGGAAGGACCCGGTATGACCAAGGCAGTGCACGAAGCTAACAAAACAAAGCACGACATCAGAACTTCAGAAGAACCGGATCTTATTAACAACTCACTACAACAACTTCTCATTACTCGAGATAAGCACGCCCTCAGGGTTGCCGTTGGCGGGTACTATGCGCCAAATTGGCTGCTTTGCAACTCCGTCTTGCGATGGGAGTTGAGGTTGACCCCATGTCTAGTTTCTGACTTCAAACTTATGCCTTGGTTCATTAAGAAGGCAATTTTTATCGTTTCCTGGTAAAATAACTCTTTCGAAGATTTTGTGTCCTGTCAGCCGATGTGCGAAAACGTCCTCACTGCAGCGGGCTCATACGCATCAATGAGCATCAATGCAGAGTGCGGCGTGCATATATATATACGGAGTGGCGAAGTTGTGTGCGCGTTAGAAAACGCGTGGACGCCGCTCACACAGCCCAAAATCTTTGCAGGTGCAAGTTTGTCGCACTCCTGTATACACGCCGCGCCTGCTCAAGAGTGAAATTTATAAGAGCACTCATCCGCAACAATGTGAAGCTGGGCTGTTCATCTTGAATCATACTGTTACGTGAAGGATAGTCGCTTGCACCGTAGACCATTTACAAGGTATATTTACAACAGTGGTCGCACTGCTGACCGGTTCAGGTCAGAGTGCGAAGCGAGAGACCTTCGTTCTCTTCGTCGGGCGCACGCGCGCCTAGTTCGAGAGGCTATAATTATGCATGTAGCAATAGCATTTGAGGACGGACTGGTGTTACGTAAACTCTGCTAATCACTCTGCTGCTTCAAACTCGGCTAATAAGTCTGCTGCTTCAATGTCGAACTTTCGTATTACCTTTTTGAGTACAGTGAATTACTGTATCTTGAAGAAACTCTTTTTCACATAAACCATATATACGCAAGCACACTTAATTCAAGACAATATCCATTCACTTCTTGGAAACCTACTTGAGCATTGAAGGCCGAAGTAGAGGGAAGATGTTGATATGGTTTTGATTAATGAAAATTATGTAATTTATTCTTCAATAATATAAAAATTGTACTGATACTACTGTTCTTGTTTTATCTGGCTACGCATTTGACGATAAAATTTTATTAGGTGCCTACTTTGGCTTTAGCATTACCTCTGAATTTGAAGTCTAGTCAAAGGCAAACCTCAATGTCGTGTCACAAATCTGGGCACTAGAGGCAGTGTTGGCTCTGATGGAAGTGTGCCAGTCAATATTACGCGAAAGCGGCTAGAAAGGGAGACGATGGAAACGAAATGATGACATCATTAAGCATTAAGTTTCTTGAGCACTGTACGTTACGGAACTTGAAAGAGCGCCAGTGATTTCGCACTATTTTATGGCGTAGCATGTACGAGCCAAGATGTTCAACTAAATGGTCATATTTCGGCATTCTTCGGCTGCAGGCAAAGCTAATGTTGTACTGGGAGCGTTCTTACTCTCGCTCTGCTCAAGTTTGTCTATCGAAATAAATAGTTATGTCTTTATTGACTTAGCTGATGCATTATTCGGCGTCACACCAACATGATACCTCAGAGAGCTGCATAGGCGTCCGCGAACCAAATACACACATGAAGTCGTGAAGCAAATTTCAAATGTGAACAGAGTAGTAACGTCGCCTCAGACCACATAAGCACCCTTAGTCAATCAAAGGTTCATAATGAGCATGGATTACAACCTGAAAAACAAAACAGCAAGACGATTGCAGCTGTCGGGTTTGGGCATTCTATAGGAAACCATGAACCAGAAGTTAGCATTCCAAAACGCGGAAGTATCCGTTCTCCAAGTGGAAGTTTCTCGGATTCAATATAGCTGTGCCACGCTCACTCTTCAGCAAAAGGTAGCGCAAAGACGTGTTTCGAACAGCGAGAGTCGATTCTTTCAGCGTATATCGAGTCTCGGCTGTGGACCTTATTGTATTGCCCTGACGCATACATTCCAAGCCTTCACTCCGGCCTTTTAATGCAGCCTACATGCAGGTGTCCGGGACAGCTTGTGCTTAAAATACACAGATGCACATGCATCCGGTACACATGATACCGGCGTCACTACCGCAGCTGAAACTTCTGTGCAATGTTGTCGCTTTAAAAAAAATTCATTGCCGAGCAGCATGTTTTACGGCAGCACAAATGCAGCTTGCAGTGGGAGTTCGCAAAGAACTTGCGTCCCCATTCATTCAACATTACTGAAAGCGAGAAAGGACACTGCACAAATGAAGGTTACACCATGTGTTTTCTATAGCACTTATTAACATTGTCGTTGCGCACAAGCTAGGACCTCTAAACCTAACTTTATAAATTGACCCTATTCAACGTCAACTGGAACCCCATGACGCAAGTCAATCGTGCCAGCTGTGCGTGTTACCCTATTCGGTCTATAAGAGCATGCAAAAAAAAACACATTTTAGAAAGCAGGAAAAGGCATATAAGGCGTGCAACACCCACATTTTTTTAACCTGGTCCAAGTGACGCATTAAATGCCATTTACGAGTCCAGTCTTGCGAGAAACTTCAATGCGAAAGACTTCTGAATCCCAGCAAGGTCGGCTCCCTTCGTGGCTTCTTTGCCCGATGGGAGCTTCTGCGGCAACGCATCTGCCAAAGTGCGCGCACTTTTGCGGCGTCGGACACAGGCCAACGACGACTGCTTTCAGAGATATCGGTGCCGTGCCTGCGTCAATGTTTGTCGCATACTACCGGAGCACCTGCAAACGTTACAGCGGTGCCTGCGCTTTTTCCTCGGCTCTCCAGGTAAGACGTTTGCTCGTTATTGATGTCCGACCTAGCAGCAATGCTTCAGCACGCTTCGGCTGTCAGTCAAATGTTCAATCTAATCACTCTTAGTGAGATTTGATCGTTATCGCTAAGCTAAATCATTGCCGAGCTTTAGTGCAGACAACGAAATAGATCACAGCGTGGCGTATGTATTCCGAGTGATTAGAAATTTCACAATATAGAATAAATATTTTAAATATTTGTAAAACTGTAAGGCAGGCAGATAGCTTTCTCTAAGCCAACCACCGGGGATTGAAATACGAGTAAAATGGACCACAAAGCTCGACGCCATACTGAAACCTAAGGAGAAGCAGTGCGAGTTTCATGCTTGCTTTCGCATGTTCTTTTCAAAAGAGCGCGAAAATGTGTTGACCCTGTTTACTACGAACTAAAAAAGAAAGAAAGGAATATCCGAACGTAAATATCCTACGGGACTACGAAGTTTCCGCGATTTATCCAAGTGGTTTAGGTGGCCAATGTTCATAGACTTAATAGACGCGACTAGCACATAGTGAGCTCTTCCAACGTAGGGACGTGCAGACTTAAGCAACACTGCCGAATCGTGGGCAGTTCTGGATTGCCCATAGCTGATCTCCGTGGCTGATAGCTGATCCCCGTTGTTGGAGTTTCTGATAGCGGAGCAACACTTCGCTTGGTTGGCTTGATTGCCGCCCAGTTAAGAAAGACATGGCCAGAGTACCCCACTTTTCAAAATTTAAGTAAGGTCTAACTTCATCTGCATTTTCTGGTTGCATGATGGCAAACTATTAGTATATATTTTGTTATACTAATATATTTTCTATTTTCTTTTTTTAGTTATAGTACATCAAGAGAGTGAATAAATCTTCCCCATGTCACGTTCTTGGTGAACTCTTTCATGTAAATAGGAACATCATCATCATCACCATCATCCATAACAACGCATGCTGCCATCGGTCGACCGGCCAGTTATTCTCATCGAGGACGGTAGCAACGCCCGTCGGGGGAGCTTCACAAAGCCCCGTCCGCTCGCCTGGCTTCCCGTGTTGCTGGTGTCGGCGCTGATTTCCTGTGCCTACTACGCCTACGTTCTGGTTTTCTGCCGGCTTATTGTAGCAGAGGAGAGCATAGCCAAGGCCGTAACGTTCGGCACCGGATTTCATCTGCTTCTGTCCATGTGCATCTGGTAAGACGCAGAGTGCCTAACCGGGACGTTCGTTTCTCTGGTGCTGTGCACATGTTCTGGGTGTCGCTCCTATAGGTCTTCTTGCGCTTTGTTTTGCGCGTGCACGTTTCTACGGGAGTGAGAATATTCGAAATAAATAAATACCGAACGCAATATATTTACAAATGTACACGGGGAGTCCTCCAGCCGAGAAGGGTGGAACACCACAACCAACAACAACACGAGTAAAATTGCAATCGTTATCTTCAGCGTCTCGATTGATGGAGCGTTCCTTCTTATTCGTCTCGACTTTTAACAATATTAACAAGCTTATGGCATCTGATATCAGAGTAACTTGAGGAATAATGTCATTGCCAACTTCACATAGCTCATTGCCTTTGCTATACGAGAACGTTGAGATCAACTACACAGATCCTGGGGAACGTGGTGCGATCACTTTCGCATCAGGCTGATCACCTGCGCTCGTACCATCACTGCGTTCGTACGGAGCAAAAGCTTAACTTCGTAACAAACTTTAATTTGCTGCGTCTCACCACAACCGTTTAGCATGCGCTTCAACTTCTTTCTTAGGAATTCAAATGAACGTCATGTTTGTTTCCATAGTCTCTGAAATCCAAACAGCCACCTCATATATCATCTTTCCCACCCTCAGTCAACTATACTCTGCACAAGTGTTTTGCGCTGTGGAATTTAGTATGAATTTATTGTTTACGTCGTACTGCTCACGTGTCGTTTTACAGGTCGTACGCGAAGACGACGGCGACGGCGATTCCCGACGTTCCACCAGCGTACCTGTTGAGCGTGGACCAGGAGCAGGTTCTGGCCAACTGTCAAAACGAGCGCACGCGGCATGGTCTGCTCGAGATGCTGGCATCGCAGAAAGGCGTGTTCACTCGGGGGCCAGGCGGTTCCGCGCGTTACTGCGTGTTATGCCATCTCCTCAAGCCGGACAGATGCCACCACTGCTCCACGTGCCGAAGGTGAGCCCGCGTACACTGTGCACTTTAACATAGGACGTCATCTAGGTGGCTATAAAGAGATTACTGCATCAATAAAAGATTTTGTTAGCGATGCATGTTGACGCTCCTTAAAAAAAAGAAGTCAAGAACCTACCCTTCGTTTGAGTCTCGTGCTCCTTTGATGTGTGAATGCTTTCTGCTCATAAAGTTTTCTCGTTCTGAGGGCGTGTCATCTTTTTAGTCCTACAGTAAATTTGTATACGGACGCGCGCGTGAAATTAGTGACTCTTATAGAGCGGTTTTCCTCTTTGTATGTTATTCCTAAAGTGCCTACAGTACACAGAACTGAGGATTAAAATGTTTTACGACCTCTCTCGCAGTTTATCGATATGCCACAAACGCAGACCTCCCATAAATATTTTCTCAGATGCATCATGAAGATGGACCATCACTGCCCGTGGTTCAACAACTGCGTCTGCTTCAGCACCTACAAGTTCTTCTTGCTCACTCTCTTCTACACGGTTGCACTGTGCCTATACGGCTTGGCCACCCTGGCAGCCCACTTGGTTGAATGGTGGTCGGACGCGTGGCTTCGGAAGCCGTACGCTTTCCACGTGGGCTTCCTCCTGGTCGTGGGCACCATGCTGGCCGTCGCTCTCGGCTCCTTTCTCGTCATGCACCTTTTCATGGTGTCAAAGAGCGAGACGACGCTCGAGAGGCTGCGCGACGCGACGTTTCAAGGAACTCGGGGACTTGTTCGATCTCGGGAACCGCTACGAGAACTTCGTAGAGGTGTTCGGTCCACGAAAATCACTTTGGATGATTCCCGTATTCACGAGTGTTGGCGACGGCGTCCGTTTCCCGACCAGGCTGCACCCCACGCGAGACACGGTCGAGCCTCGGGCATCTGCCGTCGTGGTGAACTATTCTGCGGCTACCTACTCGATGGGGTCATCCGGTTTCGATAGCAGAGCTGGCGTCGTGGATATAGAACGACAATCGATTGAGGCCTCTAGAGACTCCTCTAAGAAACGTAACACGACTGAATTTTGATGGTTTTTTTCTTTTGAATTACGTTCTGATATGACTCGCAATAAGCACATAGCATGCTCTTTATTGCCCGAGCGTGGCGCTCCGTCTCCTTTTGTGCCAAGCTACACCACATCTGTTCATTATATTTATCTTTGTTATAATATTTCGGTACATCTACGAATCGAATAAAGGTCTCTCGCAACCTTTGACGCCACCCGCCCTCTTCCCCCTTCTACCGCTTTCACCACCCCGAGCATCGCACAGTACCAACTGAGCACACATAAGGATTAATTTCATTTAGTAAAAATGACACCTCTTTTAGGATTCCCTAAATAGCCAATCCACTATCTCGACTCCACCTCATATGTCAAACAGGTACCATGCTGTGATCCTACGACAAGCGCAGACCAGTACTTTACTCGTACGTAAAACCGCCTTTATGGTAGGCCGCAATGATTACAGATATGCTTCAAACGTGGAACGCACTCATTTTTGAGAAATGCACAATGAACTTATATGAAGTGACTACTATATATATATATATATATATATATATATATATATATATATATATATATATATATATATATATAGTCCAGTAGATCTTCCGTGAGCGGTCACAACGTGGTTTATTTCGACGTTACGGCCTAGAGTCTGGCCTTCATCAGGATTAAAGGTACAGTTTGTTGGTGCTCAGCTTTATACAATCTCAAATCAGAGGGAAAGGAAAGAGGAAAAAGACAGAAAAAGAAGAAAAAAAGAAGAAAAGAAGAAAAATTAGAAAAAAAAAGAGCAAAAAAAAGAATATAAGGTGGACTCCCCTCGGGCGCCCCCCTTCCACTCTTCCTTCATCTCTCTCCCCTTTCTCCCTTTCACCTTTCTGACGTCAGTGGTCTGTGTTTGATTCCTTTCACTTACGCATTCTTCCCGACCAGACGGGGCCTCCTGGCACTGGCGGTTCGGTGTGGGGCAAAAACGAGCTTTTTTAGAAAGTTCTAAGCCTTTAACTACTTGGAGCCCTGTCAACATTTCGTCGTAGAGAGAGGGGTACTGTATATATATATATATATATATATATATATATATATATATATATATATATATATATATATATATATATATATATATGTACCATATTCTTTGAACGTCATTCACGCTAAACCCGACGTATTGTATGCAAGAAGTGTCTTAACGTTTTCAGCTGGTGGAGCAGCAGGCTGGTCAGTGAATCTGATGAAGGCCCGTCTACCAGCTGAAAACATAAAGATGCTGCCGTGAAAATGTCGTCTTTTTCTCGCATATATATATATATATATATAGATATATATATATATATATATATATATATATATATATATATATATATATATATATATATATATATATATATATATATATACTGACGAAGGCTGGCCCACCAGCTGAAACGTATGTGATTAATAAAAGTGTTTTCTCGTTAGTCGTGCTTTTTCGCTTCCGTATATATATATATATATATATATATATATATATATATATATATATATATATATATATATATATATATATATATATATATATATATATATATATATATATATATATATATATATATATTGTTACGGGAAGGAGACTGACTCAGAGGGGTAGTCACCGATGTATTTTCAGCCGGTTAGGCGAGCAGCGCCAGCCACACAGATTAGCTCGCGCCAGTCTATCTCCTTCGTCTTCTTCAGCTCCATGCACTGGCACGTAGCATGACCCCCGGCGGCGGAGGCACCGTCCCGGTGCTTTAAAGGTCCTTATCTGACGCATTATTGTAGGGCTTGATCCGCGAGACGTGTACGATATCACTGGGCCGCATAGTAGATGATGATGGACAGATGGGGCTGATCTCGTAGGTGACAGGTGTTACTTGACGGAATATATGATAGGGTCCCGTGTAATGAGACAGAAGTTTTTCGGATAGGCCCAGTCGACGATGAGGGGACCAGAGTAAAACGAGGGTACCGGGAGCGAAATGTACGTCTCTATGTTCCGCATCGTACCGACGCCATTAGTTGGTTTGCGACGCCATCAGCCGAGCGCGAGCGAGCTGACGGGCATGATCGGCTCGCGCAATCGCGTCGCGGGCACACTCGGTGGTGGATGAGGTGTGAGCTGAGATAACTGTGTCCAGTGGTAAAGTCGGCTCTCTTTCGTACAATAAGTGGAACGGCGAAAAGTCCGCTGTCTCGTGACGGGATGAATTATACGCGAAAGTTGCGTAGGGTAAGTAAGGTCCCAGTCTCGGTGGTCGGGCGACACGTACATAGCGAGCATATTTGTTAAAGTGCGGTTAAATCGTTCCGTGAGGCCGTTTGTTTGAAGGTGGTAAGCGGGGTTCAGTGTGTGCTGCGTGGAACAAGAACGCAGAATGTCGGCGATGACTTGGGATAGAAATGTACGGCCACGGTCTGTGAGAAGCTGTCTCGGAGCACCGTGAATCAATATAACGTCCCGTAATAAGAAGTCAGCGACGTCGGTTGCACAGCTGGTCGGTAGAGCTCGCGTAATAGCGTAGCGTGTAGCGTAGTCTGTGATAACGGCTATCCATTTGTTTCCCAATGTTGATGTGGGAAAAGGACCAAGCAGGTCCAAGCCAACACGGTAAAATGGTTCCGCGGGTATGTCAATTGGTTGAAGATGGCCAGCGGGTAGCAGCGACGGTGTTTTACGTCGTTGGCATAGGTCACACGTGGCAACGTATCGGCGTACCGAACGAGCAAGGCCTGGCCAGAAAAAACGGCACCGGACGCGCTCGTACGTGCGGGATACGCCAAGGTGTCCAACCGTGGGAGCGTCGTGAAGTTCGGTGAGAACACAGCGGCGCAAATGCTTAGACACAACAATGAGAAGGTCGGGCCCATCTGTTCGGAAATTGCGACGGTATAGGACACCCTTTTGAATGACAAAGTAGCATACGGAAGCATCATTTGTGGAGGATTCCATACGGCTGATGATGTCAAGCAGCTCTGGATCACGCTTCTGTTCTTCCCCAATATTAAGAAAGTCGGACACTGACAAGATAGAGTTCTCCGTGGGCTCGTCAGTGTCCTCAGGATCGTCGACAGGGTACCGGGAGAGGCAATCGGCATCACAGTGTAGGTGGCCAGATTTGTTGACCACCGAATAAGAAAACTCTTGCAGGCGCAAAGCCCAGCGACCAAGGCGGCCTGATGAATCTTTCAGAGAGTTGAGCCAGCAGAGTGCGTGGTGGCCGGTAACTACCGAAAATGGGCGTCCGTATAGGTAAGGTTGAAATTTCGCCACCGCCCATACAAGAGCCAAGCACTCACGCTCTGTTATCGAATAGTTACGTTCAGGGGCGGACGGGAGGCGGCTGGCATATGCAATAACGCAATCATGGCCATGTTGTTTCTGAGCCAGCACGGCACCAATGCCATGCCCACTTGCATTTGTACGGATTTCCGTAGGGGCAGCAGGGTTGAAGTGTGCCAGAATCGGAGGGCTAGTGAGAAGAGCGACGAGAGTCGAGAACGCAGAAGCCTCTTGAGAGCCCCATGAAAACGGGACTTCTTTCTTGAGGAGTTGCGTAAGCGGACTCGCTATGTGCGCAAAATTTTTCACGAAGCGTCGAAAGTAGGAGCATAGTCCGATAAAGCTGCGTACATCTTTCGCAGATCGTGGTACAGGAAAGTTTTTGACGGTGCTGATTTTTGCCGGGTCTGGTTGTACACCGTTGGCGTCTACTAAATGGCCAAGCACTGTGATTTGATGGCGTCCAAAGTGACATTTGGACGAGGTGAGCTGCAGGCCAGCGCGACGGAAGATTCCCAGGATGGCTGAGAGGTGCTCTATGTGAGTTTCAAATGTTGGTGAAAAGACGATGACGCCGTCCAAGTAGCACAAACAGGTGGACCATTTGAATCCTCTGAGCAGGGAGTCCATCATTCGTTCAAAGGTGGCTGGAGCGTTACAAAGGCCGAAGGGCATGACCTTGAACTGATATAGGCGATCGAGGGTGATGAATGCCGTTTTTTCACGGTCCATTTCATCTACCTCTATCTGCCAGTAGCCGGAACGAAGGTCTATGGAGGAAAATAGTGGGACCCATAGAGGCAATCAAGCGCATCATCTATTCGTGGCAGAGGGTAGACGTCTTTTTTGGTAATTTTGTTCAGGTGTCGATAATTCACGCAGAAACGCCATGCACCATCTTTCTTGCGGACTAGCACTACAGGAGAAGCCCAAGGACTGCAGGATGGCTCAATGATGTCCTTAGCGAGCATTTTGTCGACCTCACTTTGGATGATGTGACGCTCGGCTGCCGACACCCAAAATGAACGCCTATGAATAGGATGCTCATTACCAGTGTTTATGCGGGGGCTCATACCGGTAGCTTTCCCCAACGGACGGCCGCTGATGTCAAAAACGTCGATGTAGGACAGCAGAACCCGGTGGAGCTCATCAGTCTGCTGCGGCGTTAAGTTGGAAGCGATCATCGAAGTAATAGCGCTGTCGGAGCAAGTGGCAGATTGATGTTGAGCATGGGGGTCAGAAGGGGCAGCCATCGCGAAAACATCGAAAACATCTACCGCATTGTCTTCTAAGGTGCAGAGCAACGCCAAAGAGATCCCTTGTGGCAAAACTTGAGGTGTCAAGCTAAAGTTAACAACTGGGAGGCACGTAGAACTTCCTGCGACGGACAGAACGGTGTGTGGTAATGTAATGCCACGGCTTATGAAGACATCGGTGATAGGCGTCAGAACATAGTCACCGTCGGGAACTGGTGGTATTGAGACGAGCTCTATGTAGGTCAGTGTCTGTGGAGGGAGGCGCGCGTGTCCCGTTGTGCAGAGGCGACTCGGCCGTTGTGTAAGAGGTTCTGTTGCGGGCAATTAAGTGTAGACGGAGCGTACTGGTCGAACAGTCTATGAGGGCAGAATGCGCGGACAGGAAGTCGAGGCCTAACATTACGTCGTGGGGGCATTTATCAAGGACGGTGAAGAGAACAACTGTGTGTCGATCGGTAATGCTCACACGAGCGGAGCACATTCCCACGATAGATGCTATTCCACCATCCGCAACACGTTCGAACTTAGTGGTCGCAGGTGTGAGAACCTTCTTGAGCTTGCGGCGAAAATCACTCGTCATGACGGAAAGTTGGGCGCCGGTGTCGACAAGAGCAGTGACATATACGCCGTCTACTTGTACGTCTATGAGGTTCCGTTTTGTCGGT